TGTGTGTGTGTGTGTGTGTGTGTGTGTGTGTCTGTGTGGTTGATCTCTGGCCTCTGATTCACACACACTCTCTCTGGAGTGTTTTCCTCAGGCTGTTCTCTCATCATATAGATATATTTCCGCATCATTCCCACCATCTACTCTATCTTTACTGTATCTCTTTTCTTCTCCTCTTGTTTGCCTGAACTATCCATTGCCTCTTTCAGCTGAGAAAGAAATGTACTTTGATTGAAAATTTTATCTGTGTTTGGTTATTATGTATTAATTTAATCCTGCTGCTTTTCAAATGCCTGAATGAAAATACAATATGCCTAAATGCCTGAATATGAGAATCCATTATAAAATGAAAGAAGTAACTATTATGATATAACATCAGTTTTTAATGTTGAAGTAATTTATCAATTTAAAAGGTGCATGTGTGCGTGTGTGCGTGTGTGTGTAAAATTAGTGTATTTTCCTTCCTGGGGACAACAGTGTTGATGAAGAGCATATTTGAGATGAAATATTAGATGTAATGTGTGCAGAAAATAAGAATCAAGGTAAATATCACTGTATATCTGTATAGGAAATGTATATCAATATTTATGTATGTATTTATTTATTTATTTATTTACTTAATGTATTTATTGTTATGATTAGAGGTCATTTACAAATACAACTTACCCTAAGTTTTCAATAATTTGCGTTAAAACTAGAAACATTTATTAAGAAAGTAATTTGATTTTTATTTATGTATGTATTTACTTATTTATTTATTTGAGTTCATTTACAATTAACATTACGTTTACAATAATTTACGTTAAGACTAGAAACATTTATTAAGAAAGTAATTTGGGATTTATTTATTTATTTGTTTGTTAGGTTTAGAGTTAATTTATAGCTACAACTAACCCTAACATTTAACGTTTATTAAGAAAGTAATTTGTGATTTATTTATGTATCTGTTTGTTTGTTTATTTATTGGTAGGTTTAGAGTTAATTTACAGCTACTACTAACCCTAAGTATATAATAATTTGCCTCAAGACTAGAAACATTTATTAAAAAAGTAAATTGGGGCACTTTATTTATTTATGCATGCATGTATTTATTTATTTATTTATTTATATAAGAGCTGCATTGGCAGGCATTTTTAATAATCACTCAGCATCCTTACATGTTTTAGTTAGTTAATGCTATTCTGGACTTTGTGGATTAAAGATGTAATTTGGAAGAAGGCTATCTCATCTTTAATGAATCGCTCTGTTCTGGGGTCGCGTTTTATTTGCTCTCAGTGACTGACTCTGCTCTCAATAGCGAGTGAGTTGTTGATTAGCTGCATAAGCTAGGATCCTCTGATGGGCCTGTCAGCTTGTGTCGGCTTCCCTCTTCGTGCTCTGGTTTAACGTTCCCTGTTTGCTCTCTTCTTGCATTGATTGCCAGGTTAGGTTAGCATTCTGTCAGCCAACCACATCCTATTGACATCTCAGATCTGCAATGTAAATGATGTTTTGCAAGTTTAAGGTTTTAATTGTGTGGCAACTTTTAAGACTTTGTTGGTTTGGGGCTCGAGGCGGCAATGCAACGTTCGTTTACACCCGTTTAACTCAAACACCCTCCTTCCCTCCTCTCCTCTTCCTCCTCCTCCTCTTCTTCTCTCCAGCCCTGACACCACATGGAGGAACGAGGGGAATATAAACTGTTATTGTTAAAAATGTTTGTTTGCAAAGAACTTTCATCTCGTACGGCAGCCCACCCTATTCAGCGTTTTCAACCCCAGCCGGGGCTGCGCTTTCATGTGCCGTCCCTCGACGATTCCAGCCTTTTGTATTCACTGCACAATTAATATTCACGTCTTTCTCGCTGCTTTCCTCAGGCCAGGAGCACAATAAAGAAACAACGTCACTAACTTTTTCTCCATACTTCTCATTTGAACACCAAACGCTCTTCGCATGGAAAGGGAGCGGCGACAGCTGTTGATCTTTTAAACGTGGGGGTCATGTCAGATCCTGCTGCCAATTAGTTTCACTGAGCAGTTGTTATTTATTTATTTTGATTGTTTTGTTGTGTTCGACCATAATGATCAATGTAATTTATTTTGATGGTTGTCATTCTGCTGTGATTATTAACTATTTATTTTTTCAGCTAATATGTTAGTTTTTTTTCTTTTCTGATTATGCAGGTCAATCAGATTCAGAAGACCGTGATCGACCCTTTGAAAAAGTGAGTGATCATTTTGCTCTTTATTTTAAAGCAGGTTCTGTTCCAAAAACTAGTAATCTGCTCTTTAGACACATTTATGCTTTAGGCTGTTTAACAGAGTAAAGGGATACGCCACCCAAAAATTATCTCATCAGTTACTCCCCCTTATTCCAAACAAGATGTATATGACTTTCTTTTTTGAAAAATAATCCATCTCTGTGAGTTCATATAATGCAAGTGAATGGAAGCCACAATGTCAAAGCTCCAAAAATCACATACAGCCATCATGATGGTAATCCAATAGACTTGAGTGGATGAATTTATATGTTACACTGCTGTTCAAAATTTGGAATCAAGATTTTAAGATTTTAATTTTTTTGAAAGAAAACGTGAAGAAACGTTAAATGTGTGTTTTTTTTAAAGAAATCTCTTCATCAAGGCTGCATTTATATGATTAAAAATACAGAAAAAAAACATATATATTGTGAAAAATTGTTTCAGTGTAAAATAACAGATTTCTGTGTAAATTAAATTTTAATTTAAAATATCATTTATTTCTGTGATGCAAAGATGCTTCAAGAGACCTACCTGTAAAGCTACCTGAAAAACTATGTGCAAGTTCACCTAGGGCAAAAGCTACTTTAAACAGATTTATACTTGATATATAAATTTTTTTGATTCTGTAATTTTATTACAGTATTTTTCACAAATAAATAAATTGTTGACTAAAAACCTAACCAGTAATCAATAATCAGTAATCTGACAAAGGGATAATATCACTATGCAAATAAAAAATGTTAATGGTCCTAAAAATATTTTCTTATAATTTAATAACTTCTTATTCTTATATATTTAAACAAATATAATTTGTCTGTGAAAGTTGACCTGGACATGTTTTTGTGAGCATCACCCACAGATCAATAATCAGTTCATCTCAAAGGGATGATCAATAATCAGTTCATCTCATCTCAATTCTGTCAAAATAAAAGTTGCTCTTCCGACATTTATTTGCCAAACAGGAAAACGTATCGGTCAATACAAGTAATTAAAAAATGCTAAATATCGGCAAATACTATATATTGGTTTTGGCAATAGACCAATTTGGTGTTTGCAAACAGTGATTTTGTGGGCAGAGCCTATCTGGTGGCAGAAAATGGCCGTTTTCAAGTAGCAGACTATGGAAGCCATGGAATAAAAGAATAAAAAAAAGGTCAATTTGAGTTTATCGATCAATTTTGAGCCTTGATCGCCCCCAGGTGACTGGATGCAGTATAGGTCATAAACCCCGCTCTCCATGTAATGTAATGGGACCTGAGACAAACTAAACAAAGTACACTTCAAATAATTTTTTCCAAAGATGGTTTCCGTCATTTGAAATAGTTCTTATCATGCTGATTTATGTTCAAGTGTTTGTTTTTCTAATAAGTTAGCTTTTAGGTAGTTATTTGATGCTATAAAAACGGGGTGTGGTGTCATGATTGTGATCTTGCTATTGGGTCTGCGGGAGTTTGGACGGAACTTTGATATCGCGGCTCCACCTAACGACACTACTGCGCAGACTTTGGCTCCAAATGAATCTCTACTGTGCAGGCTCGGGCGCCAAACGAATCTCTACTGCCAGGCTCGGGCGCCAAACGAATCTCTACTGCGGAGACTTTGGCTCCAAATTAATCTCTACTGCGCAGGCTCGGGCGCCAAACGAATCTCTACTGCGCAGACTTTGGCTACAAATTAATCTCTACTGCGCAGACTTTGGCTCCAAATTAATCACTCCTGTGCAGACTCGGGCTCCAAATGAATCTCTACTTCGCAGACTTTGGCTACAAATTAATCTCTACTGCGCAGACTTTGGCTCCAAATGAATCACTACTGTGCAGACTCGGGCTCCAACCGAATCACTACTGCGCAGACTTTGGCTCCAAATTAATCTCTACTGCGCAGACTTTGGCTCCAAATGAATCACTACTGTGCAGACTCTGGCTCCAA